TGGATGGATGGATGGATGGATGGATGGATGGATGGATGGATGGATGGATGGATGGTTGGATGGACGGACGGATGGCTGATCAGACTAAAAATGTGTGAGCATCCGAGGTTCTGCAGTTACAGTTGTTTGTGATAAACTCAACACAACACTCACTACACATCAAAATTAAACTTTCTCAACTTTTCAGCAGAGAATACAAAATGTCAGGTGTGCCTGAAAGTTCACACATGAAGACCAGCTTTGTCTACAGCAGTGGCATAGCCAGACGATTTTCATAGAGGTGACCAAGCAGGGACCTTTGTGACTGGTGTCCAAAGACGTATAGGCAGCAGAACCAATCAATCTACACCAGCATTTGATGCAATGAGTTTACAAAATAGCTGTGTTAGTAACTGAGTTATTTTTCCAGTAATTGTTTTCTATCTAATTACTTTTCAAATATTGTTAATGCAGTTATGTCACTTGCAATTTAACTCGATCAATCAAAGCGACTTTCAATAAGTACGCTCTCATTGTTGCTGGAGAGAGATCTTTAAGTGCAGAGATAAAGCAGCTGCTGAGATATGGACCTACCATTGCTGATGGGACGTGAAGTGGGCAGGTGTTCAGCATGCAATGGTGGCTCACACAGACAGGACAGACGTAAGGTGTCTGTCCTGTCTGTGTGGCAGATATGCAGTCTGCAGTGCATAATAATGTTCATAAACTTGTAAAATCAAAGGATAAAGGTTCATGTGATTTTCTTATTAAGTTTGGGAACAAACACTTTATCCATGAGGGTCTGGTTAATATAATCAAGTTCCCCCGAACTATCAACTATAGGGACTTCGGCTGGCTGCCTTATTATATCAAAATGTTGCTTTTTACTTGATAAAGGCTACTTTTTATTGTTATGTTCAAATGAAAAAACTGGGATACAGTCTTCCTGTTTTGTGTGTGCGTGTGTTTTCTTCGTTTTTTGATGAAACAGTAACTTTTGTTTAATTTTATCCCAAAATGTCTTTAATGTTTGGTAAATTGCCTGAAAGTGCCTTGAGATGACATGTGTTGTGAATTGGCGCCATATGAATAAACTGAATTTAATTTAATATAATTGAAATGCATCAATCTTTAAATGTTTCTGTTCTGTTTGAGTCTGATCAAGGAGAGCCTAAACCATTGACAAAGGCCTAAGCTCCATGTTGGACTGCAGAGATCCACAGGTGTGGTAAAAGAATAACTCAACAGGTCCTTTGGTCATGCACTCTATGAATCTGATCTTTCTGGGACAATAGTAGAAAGAAAGCTTGGTATACATGCAAGACACTGTGTTCCTCAGACAACAAGGAATGGATATCATCCTGATTGAATGTATATCAACCATTGTCGGGGTGACATATGGTGGTGGCACTGTCATGCTTTTAGGATGCTTTTCTTCAACAGCTCTTATCTAACCGTTTTCAGTCTTTTTAAAATTTCTGCTCTACTTTACTTTATGTTTATGTAATACATAGCATTACAGTGAATTAATTCCAAGGTTGTGGTTGTTATATAAACAAATGTTAAAAGTGCAGGAGTCATTTCTGTAAAATGCTGTAGCCTAAAATGTAATGTTAAAATGAGGTGAAAAATTTAATGAACTTTCAAGCTTCCATCAGCAAATGTTGATGGGAGATTTGCTTCCTCAGTTACTGCCTTATTGTAGAGACCAAAAATATTAATATTTCCCTTTCGAATTTTGAAAACTATAATTCTTTAGAGAAATAAACTACAATGTTTTAATTCATTTAACTGAA